AATATACTATATTAGGGGGGAAAAAGTCACCTACTATAGCATGATATTATTTGCAGCCAAACCAGAAAGCTCAGTAAAATATTCCAAATTTCAGTATCAACAAATGCTGTGTTAAAGAATGAAAAGTATCACAGAGTGTAATTCTAAAAGGGAGTGTTACTTGAAGTAAGGGCCTTAGGGGAAAGAAAAAAAAATTTAAATTCTTTTATTCTCACCTTCACAACTAATTATAAAGGTCTTTGATGTTCATTGGTAAGAAAGGAGCAAGAGACTCTAAATTCCTCCATTTAAGAGAACCTTGGTTTAGAAATGGGCCTGTTTAGAGCTACCTATTCTATTCCTATCATTCTGATGCTTCCAAAATGCTCACATGGTATGAGCTACTATGATTCTCCTGAGGGGAAGGAAGTAAAGGTCCACTTTGCATGACAAAGGTCAGATTTCTGCAGGCAAATGAGACTCCATGGCTGACTGTTCCTAGGTTGTCACTGCCTGGCTGGGTCCAAAGAGGTCAAGAGAGGTTCCAAATTGGGTTCACTGCTTAAGGGACACCCCTGGGGCCACTTTTTAAAGGTCATTAAGATTTTCTTACTCTGGTTTCAGCTTTACTCCCTTAAATCTTGCTAACACACACTGGTAATTCATTACTGATGTGGGTAAAAAGGAAACTGAAAGAATTTAGTATTATATGCAGATCAAAAGTTAGAAAATCCACTTATTTAACCACTTCCTTTAAATCTAAGATTCAGTTCAATGATATTCAAGTAGACCACAGAGGATGATACTCAGGTCCCAACAGGAAAGCTTGACTCTATTATAACTGTCCTGGTATCTACACTATATGATCAACGCCTCTACTCGAAATTTCACTTAATATGCTGTAGCTTTCTGCAAAAATTATACCATCTCCCCAATCATCACACGTTTAACTATGGTAAAATTTTATTACTTTCTTTTGTAATAACTCTTGGGGTCACGAAAATACAACAAATGATGAACTGAAATTATTATTTGAGTGTATTTCGATGTTCTCTTTGGTACAAATATATATCTAACCTTCCTCACAGTGGAGTGGAAATACACTCAATGGGTTATATTTATAAAAGTTGGAAGCGTTCTGCCTATTGTAATTAATGAAGTGTATCTCTAAGTATTTTAGATAATGTGTGGAAAATATCTCTATTTCATTATATAATACTTTTCTTAGATCATGGGGACTGAATTATGAAATATTCTGAAGCCCCTATAGAGATAAAATTATTAATGGTTGCTCAAGAATTCTATTGGTACGATGCCAGAGAATACCTGGTTTTACAAATCAATAGGCTGACCCTTCCTAAGTATCAGATTTTCAATAGAAAAGGAAGAAACCTAAAATACTGGGTAAACAGAGACACAGAAAATGGCTTTCATATTAGTACCGTTTTGAATGAAATTCTGTAACATATGGTGAACAGGATTTCTCTCTTAATTTTGTTGGGGATGAGAATGTCTAAAAGAATAAATTAACAGCTTGCTATTCATTCTTCTGAGAGAAAAAGTCCTAAACTGTTCTCATGGAAACAATGGGACACAAAGTATGGGCTTTTTTGTCCTTGTCCTACAGTATTAAACACATCAGATTTTCTTTCTGGATGCCTACTGACTCCAAAGGCCACTTCTTCTGCAGTCAGTTTTCAATCTCCCAGTGGAAAGAATACATTCAAAGGCTGTGTGCACAGCAGGGTAGAAGGCTTTCTCTGTGAATGTAACTGTATCACTGATCGGTAACCTCCTGCCATAAGGGGACTGTGTTTTCTTTCCTTTTAGTGACTCCATGGGCTCTTGAATGCCAGTCACTGCCCCGAGACCTGGGGCCATAGTCACATAATCTCTGTCAATAGTTCCTACACAAGCCATTGGTGCAAGTGAATGTCAAGGCTGCAGATCAAAGACCGCACACTCTAAAACTCATGTCCTTTATGGATCAACTTTCATAAACTGTACTCTGTGTTTTAGAAATACATGGAGACTCACTCTGTGCTTTCTTCCTTTTATCCCAGAGACGTTTATTTATATAAAAGGCAATCTGATTTATAGATAATTGGGTTAAATTCTGATGCAATACATAAAATTCATCCTTCCCTTTGCATACCCTTCTTGAAGTATTTTCGGTGTCTATTGTTTTACTAGTAGAAATGGCAAGATATTTGAATTATTAAAAGAAAAAAAGACATGGATTGCTTTGCAATATTGACAATCCTTCCCAGTGCCTGGTACAATAGCCATTAAGTAATACATTCTTACTCATGATTGATTTTTATTTTTAAATCTTCATTTTGCTACAGGTAAATTATATGAGAGAAAATAGCTTCAGCATGTGCTTTTACAATGTATACCCATTTTGAGTATTCAAAATTGCTTGGGAAAATAAATAAAATTAGTTGAAATCATTTTCTCTCTGTAGATTGCATATACAAATTACATTGATCTATACTTCTTCAAGCAGACCTTTGTAAAATACAATGGACCAAATTATCTTCTATGAATACCTGTTCAGATCACACTGTGGATATAATTTTTTTTAAATTCACAACTTTCTCTAAAGAGCTATATTTGAAAGAAATAACACAATTTGAACAAAATGTACATTAATGTTATTTATGCTTACATCTTGCTAAAGTCTAAGAATATATTTATTATAGAGGTAAGAGCATTTAACATGTTAAATATGCACATATCAGAGGGCTCACAAAGGAGAAGATATTGAAACAAACACAGGCTTTACAGCCACAGGGCGGCTGGCTAAATTCCAAATAGAGGCTGCACTGTCCCAGTTCCCCAAGGCCCATCTTAATACAATTACATAAGATTATTAGGTACAAAACTTACTCTGAGTTCTCTTGTAATCTATGAGACATTAGGCAAGTCACTTACTCAGAAGGTAGCTTTGGCTTTATCTATTTTCACCACTTAAACAATTGAAATGTAAGGTCTTTAAATCTTGAAAAGGAAACTGTATCATTCCAATTTTTTGTGGTAAATGACTGAGGCCCAACAGAAAATCAGATAAATGGTGAAAATTATAAAGGTCCTCATTAATGGAAAAGATCAGAATTTTCTGAAAAATTGAATTTCTATTTCCCTTAATGTTACCCTTCATTGCTAATAAGATAGTCTAACTAAAATCCAAATATGATAAACTTTTAAATTATAAAAGGTACTTCAATTACAGATTGAATCACTTTGTAACAACAGGGATGTGTGTGTGTGTGTGTGTGTGTGTGTGTGTGTGTACATGTGTTCATGCCTGCGACCAAACACACACTTGTTAATGCTGAGGACATGGGCGCAAAGGGCATAATAGCTCTCTGATTCAAATCCTTTGACTTTCTTCTAGAGGCAAAATGAAAGGACAGGTATGTGATGCAAGAACAAACCCACTTACCAGTTTTCCGCAGGGGGAAATCATCCTTTGCGTCTTGGGCTCCTGGTAATGTGTATTTGTAGGACGGAGATGTCCCACTCAGGGGTGGAGAGCTTTGATCCAATGATGTATGGTGGGCAGCCCTAGGAGAGACAAGAAGGGGTCACCACTTGCACTGGAGTTTTTCCTGCGTGTTGGTCAGCAATAATCGGTTGCACATGCTGTACATGTGTCTCAGCTGTGTTTATGTTCTTTCTTTTTAGTGTGTACAAACCACAGCCTCATGTAACCGAGTTCACAACAGCAGTATGTTACGCAGTGATTCAGGATCCCCAAGAATGCCCACGTGTGCTTGGTTGGTCACACAGTCACACGGAAGAGTTTGTTTTATTCAAAGAGAGAATTTACCACAAGCCTGAGTTGTGATGATCTGAGATTACTGTGTATGTTTTCTTAAGAGTCATAATAGTGAAAAAGTCATCATCCGAATCCTTTTCAGTCAATAATGTAGAACAACTAAGGTAAAAGCGATCACATGGAAGCGCTTCATTTTTAAAATTGCTAGCTAGTACATGAAAGCGCACGAGAAGCTTTTCTGTGGAAAAGACTGCACGGTGGCGGCCTCAGGTCTCTTGACTTATCCCAGTCCAAGGTGCAGACTGGGGCTCGCTTCTTTCTTCAATACAAAACTGATTTCTCAAAATGCTTTCTCTTTTCTGCATAAATACAGGGAAA